GGTACTTTTTCTTTACATTCCGTTTTGAATTCACAATTTTTAATTAATTCTTTCACTCCTGCAAGGAATGTAGAAATTGATTCACCTGGTTGTTGAACTCTTGAAAAGAATTTATGTTAAAAAACATTTTTCTTGGATGCAAAATGATTTCTTACAAGATCCATTAATTCTTGGTAGGTTATTGTAGCTGGTAGTTCTGGAGAGATCAAACTTGTAATTTGTAATGTCTGCTGCCCAAACAATGTATTAATACCACAACTTTGGCATCACTAGTTTCTTTGTCGTTTTTATGCAAATCTCTTGATTTGAAAAAATTTTCTAGTCTTTGACTGTAACTCTCAAAATTTTCAACGCTTTCATCAAATCCGTCGAAAGTTATAGCCTAGGTCTGCAAAACTTCTTATAAACTTGCAGTCGTTTTCGTAATTGATACCAAAACATTCGTGAATCTAGATGAACTCCCGAGAAGTTAGCAGATTCTGTTTCATTGATCCCCGGAGGAAATATTCTTGAAGAAAAATAGCATTTTTTTGTTTTAGATTTATTTAACACTAGATTTTGCTCAGCAAAAAAGTGCGTTAAACAACATTCTTTTTCTTCTAGTGTGTATTGTAATTTAGTAACGTTAAAATCTGATGCTAAAAAAGTAGTATGATCTGCGTTAAGACTAGTTCACTATAGAAAAAAGCACTGTGAGCGTCATTAATATAGATGAGGAAAAAGACCGACCCTTGAGGAACACCAGAATAGATTTCAAGATCAGTGGAATGATCGTTTTCCAGTGCCACTGACTGACATCTGTTTGACAAATAAAATGTTAGCAAATTCAATTCAGATCGAACAATGTTGTACGATGCCAGTTAACCAGTTTACGTATTAGTAGTTCAACAGACAAACAGTCGAATGCTTTCGACAAGTCGCAAAACAAAGCTCCCATATAATATTATTAGAGAGCGGATTTATAAGCACAAAAAAATTAAGAATAATCGCTTAAATAAGCACAACATTTTCAATAAAAAAGTTTTATTTTAAGCAAAAAAGCATTAAAAACATAATCATATTACAAATCAAAGGACACTTCTTAGAACTTTGGATAAAATATTATTACAATAATCGTAGACTTTATATTTTACACACGTATTTCAGTTTTCTTTAAAACAGTTTATGATTGTAATTTGTTCCAAGTTGTCCACTGTAAAATGTTTTCGCCGATCATTTAAAATGTGTTTAAAATTGGAGAATGTGCGTTCACATCAACACTTGTTGGCGCAAATTTGAATTTTGCAACTAATGTTGAATCTAACTCCAAATTTTCCACCTTCTGGCCTTGTAAAACACGAGCAACGTCGTAAAGAACACCGAAACCTGCATTTTTATTTAACACTTCGTCAAGTTTTTGAGATACTCTAGTACCAATATCACCCCTAACTGCGTTTGCTTGTTGTTTAAATTATTTCACTAAGTTTATGGCATCTACCAACATGTTGGGTTTTTCTAACTTTTCTATTACTTCACATACGAATTGATAATTGCTTCTTATAAAAGCTAGATCTTGTCGCAAATCTTTGTTTTCCAAAATATTTATGCAATCTTTAATCGATTGAGAAGAATCTTCGCTAAACTCCGTAACTACTTCCTCAAATTCTTTGATATATTTGTCATAATAAAATGTGGCCTGTAACCATGTTCCCCACCTCGTTATAATCGGCTCTGGGGGCAATGGTATGTTTGGAAATTTTTCCTTAAAATGTTGCACTCTTAGTGGGGCTTTAACAAAAATCTTTTTACCATTTGCCACTAATTTATTAACAGTAGGAAACTGCAAACGTATTCCTTCAGCCACTCTGTTTAAACCGTGGGCAATGCAAGTGGAGTGAATTAAATTAGGGTACAATATTTTTAGATTATTCCCTGCTTTCAACATATAACGAGTTGCATCCGAAATCATCAATAAAATTTTATTCCGGTTATTGCATTTGGCAAAAATAGTGACGTAAGACTGTCATTTACAAATCTGGTAATCGTATTGCCATTTGTTTTATCTAACAATTTCAAACTTACTACATACCCTCGACTATGGAAATTTTCATTTAAGATTCCAACAATTAAACTTGCCACGTATCTTCCACAACTATCGGTTGTTTCATCGACAGCGAACCATAAATAATAATTAATTATCTCCAATGCGATGTTTAATTTCGTTGTAAACTTGCTGAAACACTGGGCCTACATAATTTTTTCGGAGAGTACTTTCAACCGGAATATGTCGATTGCAGTGTTTTTCAAGGAATTCTTGAAGAGGGCTTTTCTTCAATTTTTTTGAAGGTATATTGGACTGGATCATCATTTTAGATAAATCGAAATCTGACATGTTGCGTCACGTTATATTTTTTATCACTTTGAATCTAAAACAACGTACATATACAGGATTAACAAAGGAAAATAGATAAAAAAAAAATAGTGGGATTACGGTTTTCACACAAGCTCTGCAGAATATTTTGTTGTTTTCTAATTTTAATTCTGGAAAATCCCTTATCCACTCATCCGGCGTCGATTTTACTTTCGGCATTCTTTTAAAATATTAGTAATATTACCAAAAAGAACTCAACATGTAACAAGGGAGAACCACGTATAACACTGTACTACGACAGATGCGATAGACTGATGGTTGTGAAATAAACGGTTCATTTACTTAAAAGTTTCCATTAGAAAAATTTTAAGGTTGGTAGTTGGGTACAATAATCCATTTTTCTAGAAAATCTTCAACGGTCTTGCCGCAAAATGCCGAAAAAGAACATCTGGTTAAAAGCTTTAATTCAATATCAACGGAAGTAAGGATATAAACTCATAAAATCTATGGACTATTTTTCCAATCCTATAATAAAATTTTATTACCCAAACGATCGGAACCTATTCACAGAAAGGGTCTTGAGTAAGTGGACTTCAATGGTCAAGTCCAGGTAAAATGCATACGCTACGATACGGTTAACTAACAAGTATTTGTCATCCCGACAAAGCCGGCATTTGAACAAAATATGCATTAAAACTCATATTCGTCCAAGAAAGCATTAAATAAGCATATAAGTTTTAATATGCATAAAATTGAAAAAAAAGCAAATAAGCATAAAAAATATGTGTCAAATGACACCAGATTGTATCATAGTTACAGATATAAAAAAGTTTTGAAGTGCTTACATTTTTCACAAAAAGCATTAAACCTAGAAATCCGCTCTCTAAATATTATTCTCAAAAGCATAATTAATTTTTGAAACAAGATGAGAGACAGCAAGTGATGTGGATTTGTTTTTCCCAAATTCAAACTGTGTCTCACAATAAAGATTGTTTGTTTCGAAATAGTGTGTTAGTTGGATTTGAAGGCACGTCTCCAAGATTTTACTTAATATGGGAGTTATGGAGATGGGTCTGTAATTATTAAGTAGTTTTGAATCACCTTTTTTGAGAATAGGAATTACTTTAGATTTTTTCAAAACTGACGGACAAATACCAGTTTGAATGCAGTGATTAAAAAGAGTAGTTAAAGGGTAGACAATAAGGTTTTTAATACATTTAATAATTTTTGAATTTAGGCCATAAATATCTTTTGCTGGAGAATTTTTTAATTGAGAGATGATATCACGGATTTAATTGTAAGATAATTTGCTAAAGGCAAATTTACTACTCGGTAGTTCAAATGTTGAAGATCTGTAGTTATTTAGGTCTGTTTTATCCGGTAAATCCTGAGTTAATTCAGTTGGTATATTGGCAAAATAGTTATTAAAATCATTCTTAGCAGGGAATTTCAGGTAATACAGTATTAACTAAATGTTTAACTAACGCCCAAATCGCTCTAGAATGGTTATTAGCTTTTAAGGTGTAATCATCATGGGCTCGTCGCCTGGCTTTTTTTATTTCAAATCTATAAGTTCTTTTAAGATGCTTAATTTGCTGACCAACATCTGCATCTTTTGTTAATCGATAGCCGTGATAAAGAAAATCTATTTGGTTGCGCATGTTTTTTAAGTTATTATTAAACCAATATATGTTAAGAGATTTTGAATTTGAACTTACTTTCCGCGATGGAAAATGTCTATTTGCAGTTGCCATTTTATTATAAAAAGTAAATAGACCTAATGAAGTATTGGATTTATAATTTTTTCGACTTTCAAATTACAAAAGCACATACACATATTGAACAAGATGCCACTGTGGTCAGACATATATATTAGATATAGTTCAGGACATAACTGGATACATAGTCTTCCCTGTAAGTTTGTTAAAAACTTGTCTAAACAAGACTTTAAACTCTGGGTTAATGCACAATATAGAATAAATTGAAAGATGAAAATGAATTAGAAAATTCCCTCATATTGCTACTGGGTTTTATAAAATCAATATTGAAGTCGCCAGTGAACACTAAGGCACGAGATGAAGCACACACTTTCTCAAATAGGACATTCATAACACTTAAGAATATATTCTTATCACCTGTCTGTAGGTCTGTAGATAACAACAACAAGTAAATTAAGTACCTGTGATTCAATTCCAGATAGTTCAACGTGATTTTCTATTGTTAAAGATAATATATCTCTGCTCACAAAATACTTAAAATATGAAGAATGGGCAAAAATGGCAACAACGCCATGAGTGGTTGAAAATCTGCAGAAAAAACTTATTAATTTATAACTGTCTAAAATTACGTTTGGTAGGTATTGATTCAGCCGACTGGAATCAATGTTCAGAGATACAGATTATAGAAAATTTAGGAAATAATGCATTAATTTCTGGTACTTTAGTACACAAGCTCTGCACGTTTTGATGGTATACCCAAAAATTTATGTGGTTTCTGTGGGGACTGTAGTTGGTGGAAAATTTTTAGTCTGTTTTTACGTGATTGACTTATTTAAGCGGTAATCTTGTGAGTGGAAATCAGTTGATGTACTTGCTTTCAATCTAGACCAATTATTATCTTTAGTTATTAGTTCATTATTTGTTGTTTGCAGGGGTATTAATGGAGCAGAATCCAAGTTAGTTGGCAGAGAAGATTCGTGTCATCCTTATGAAGCAGAGATGGAGATTTCTTAGGTTCAGTGGAAATAGCTGTATCATCATTTTCCGATTCAGATTCACTATTATCATCTATACGGCGATGAGAATCAGAAAAATCAGAAAAACGCCGGAAATTTCTTGCAGCTTTATTTATATTACCGATATCACCTGGTTGATTATAAGTGAAAGTGTGTGTGTTATCAGCTATTGTTTTTAGACCTACACATGACATTCGTCTTTCCCGCACATCAGAATTTTCTTCTTTATAAGTGGACGAAATAGAATTCATAGGTAACACAGGTCTTACTTTTTGTAACTACTGCCTTAGAGTTGTCAGATCTTGCTATAGTAAGCTCAGGAGTGTTGTCCGCGCTTCTATCAACGCTTTGCAGTTGCTAATTTCTTCACGAAGGTTGATATTAGCTTCACTGCACTCACAACCACAGTTAAAGTTTTCAGAGAAATCACTAAGACATTGAGTGATAACATTTCGTATATTAACATCGTAAGTAACTGATTTTTTAAATTTAGGTGACATTTGTATCCACAATACATTCCCACAATAGAGCACTCCGAGCCAGGCATCCAGATAGAAGAAGTCATAGAAGCTATGAAGTCGTTGAAAAATGGGAAGGTGGCAGGTGCGGACATGGTAAGACCAGAGATGATCAAATATGCGAGATAGAAGGGGGAAAACCACTTATACAGAATCATACGAAAGGCATGGTCAATGAAAAAGGTACCGGAAGACTGGACAACTGCTGTGATTGTTCCGATATACAAAAAAGGCGATCATAAAGAATGTGAAAATTACAGAGGAATATACTTTCTGTATAAATACTTACGTAATATTTAGTGTAGTAGCAAAAATGTAAGAGAGGATCCTGGAAAAAAGAATATATACAAAGCGACATTATTCCGGATCATACTGTGCAGGAACCCATCTTTACGTTAAGACAATACATGAAATCATCTAGCACCGAAGAAAAATGTTTTAGCTGAACAACATAAATTCTTTTCAAGAGTTCAACAACCAGGTGAATCAATTTCTACATTCGTTGCAGGATTGAAGGAATTAATTAAAAATTGTGAATTCAAAACGGGGTGTAAAGAAAAAGAACCTCCTCCTTTTACTTGTTCGAAATCTGTGATCGACATGTTACTACGAGCTCAGTTTATCCGAGGACTCCAAGATTCCAGCATTAGAGAAAGAATTATTCAATTAATAAACGTCTCCTTTGATAAAGCATTAGAACCAGCATTGGCAATTGAAGCTTCAAGAATTCAAAATCGAGAAGTTTATAACAACTCATCATATCCGTCAAATAATGTTCATAAAATTGGTTTTACTAAAGGACAATCAGCATCGAAATACTATAATCAAAATAGATCTTCACGTCAAAAATCTTCAAAAATAACAGCTCGAAGCATAAATTTACAAGAATTGGGTCTATCCGGATTATGCTTACATTGGAAAAAAGAATCATCAAACTGACAACTGTCACATCAAAGAAAAATTTCACTGTAATTTCTGTCGAAAAAAAGGGCACACAAATAAAGTATTATTTCAAAAAAATCGACAAAATGTCAAAAACGTCGACATCGGTTCAAATTCCTCTGTTGATGAAGAATTTCAAATAAATAATATTATCGATATCTTCAATACCTCTTCGTCAGCTTATGAACCAAGAATGTTCATTACAGTACAAATTCTTGGCAAACCAGTTAAATTTGAGTGTGATACCGGCAGTCCAGTCGGCATCATTTCAAAGAAAATCTTTGATGCATTGAATCTTAAAGTGACTCTTCGTAGTACAAACATTCAATTTCGTTCATATACAAAACAAATATTTAAACCTCTGGGTTACATACGAATACCTGTTACATATAAAAAGAAGAAGTTCATGGGAGTTTTATCTGTCGTTTCTGATTATGGTACAGCCATTATGGGAAGAAGACGGATTCGAAACCTACAGATAAGTCTTCATGACTTTTATTCTATTTTTAATTCTCAGCCATCAATATCAGAAATTTTCAATCAATTCAGCGACATTTTTTCAACCAAAAGTTGGTAAAATTCCAAACTATCAATGCTCTTTATCTCGTGAGCAGAAATTATTCAAAACATGGTTTATGCAAGTATGGAATAATTACAAACTGCATTGGTAATCTACACTATTTAGTAGAACTAGATCATGGTTATGTAATTAAGCGTCATTACAATCAACTTGGTTCCTGTAATGTGGAGAAGAACGCACTGAAACAGGTTTTGGCACTACCTTGGATCTAGAAGTTGATAAGGGTTCTCCAAACACCAACATTCTGATTCAATCAACACCAAACACACTAAAGCAAGAGCTCATTCAAGAGAAAGAAATTCGGTCAACAGAAGAACATATCGTATCGGTGGATTAAAAAATGTATCTTTGTGAAATAGGATTTAACAAAACATTTATCTTTGTTTAGAAAGAGTTCATTACTGACTGATCAGTTATACAATCTGTTTAGATTATTCTGAAGATGCACACTCATCTATTGTTTTAACTTTGCAGATTAGTGTGAGATCGTCAGCACACATAAGACACTCTACATCAATTTGTTGTCCAGCAGAGACCCTTGCGGCAGCCCCAAGGTTTGACGAAACTTGCTACAGGAAAAGCCCTGATAATACACATATTGATATCTTTCATGTAGATATGATGTGAAGAGATTAATCAAGTCATTCGAGAAACCAAAAGAATGTAATTTAAGCAATAATTTTTTTTTGATGTGATCAAATACTTTAGAAAACTCTGTATATATGCAGTCCACCTGACTACGCTGATCTAAATAGTCTGAAAGAAACTGTGTTTTTAAAAATAAGTTTGTGGTTGTTTACTTTACCTTTCTAAAACCATGTTGATTTGAGGACAAATAAGTGGAAACGTGATTACATATTCAAGAATGAAGCAGGATTTCAAATATTTTTGCAAAATTGTTAATAATTGTGATTGGACGATAATTTGTTATGTCACTTGTGCTATTTTTCTTGTGGAATGCTGTAATGTTTGAGAATTTCCACTTTTCTGGAAAAATAGATGTTCTTAATATCAAATTAAAAATAACAGACAACGGTTCACATAAAACTGACGCACAATCACGAAAGAAAAATGAAGGCATTGCATCTGGACCAGCTGTTAAAGTTGGCTTAAGTTTTTTAATCGAATTGCAAATTTTTCTGGAATCAACATTTTTAACATATAAGATGTTTCTATTTAAACTACTTAAGTTTTGCTAAAATACTACAGAGTTGCTGTTATTATCTTTTTTGAATGATTAAACACTTTACTTTATTGCGGTGCATTTTAAATATTTCAAAAGATTCAAGTGATTTATCATGTTTGTACTTTATCCAAGTTTTGTGTTTTTGTTTAAGATTAACTATAATTTCTTTGTTAAACCATTCTGGGTAGTTTCTGGTTGGCTGCCTTTTCTTAGGCACAAAAGAATTGAAGATTTTATTCAACTTGTCATAAAGTAATTCAACACCCTGTTCACATCTGTTATGGAGTTTAGAAAGGAGAAGTCAGTTTCCGCTATGTTGCGATATAAGGATGGAAAATCAATGGCTTCAACCGTGTTGAGATTGTAGATAAAATTTGAAACATTTCGGGTGTTGCTTCTTACCGAGCAGAGAACAAACTGGAGTGTTGCGCGTACGCGGCGTAATATAAATACGCGTCACGCTCCCCCACCATTTGGATAGCAGTGGAGAGGGAAATCTAGTGTGGGGCAACAGGCGGGAAAATTGAAACACCATGTGCTATCCAGATGCAAACAGCAACACAGACTTCGTTAGGTTCTACAAATCAAAATCCAGAAGAAGTGAATGTACAACACCGAATTTCGCTCTGCTTATTCCTGAAAAAGACATTTATCTTTTAAAGGTCCTCACTTTTCATCATCTGCTCTTTAAATGCTGTTCCTCCCACTCGTTCCTTTCCGAAAAGTGACATCATTGCCCCCATTACGGAACCAAAAGGCGTTACAACAACGCATTAAAATGATTTGTGTCGTACCATACCGGTTAGTTTCATCAACAAAGACTCCGCGAAAGCAGCAAGAGCGTTTGATAACAGCACACTAAATCATAAGTGTAATTATTTAGTTGGCCGCAAGCTTTCAGGCAATAAATCGTGAACTTCCGCCAAAGTGTGTGCATATTAACTCGTACCGGATCATTTGCTTTCCACGTCCTACAACCGAGTCAGCCGATCCGGCTGCACTTTACGGATTTAATAGTTGTGGCATCGAAAAAAACGCGGAAGGTTATTTACACCGTACGAAGCGTGAATTTCACATGAAAACCTGAATTTTCGTATTCTATCGTCTGCAGAATCCGACTAAACCTGAAATCACAATTCCCCACGACACCGTTAAAAATTAAAATACGTAAGATATTCACACCCACTTCCGTCTCGTGGCACGAACCCATCGGGAGCCAGTTTGGGAGAATTCGCACCAGCCGCCGCCCAGCGATGGATGCTTCTAGTAATTATTATAATGCGGCTCTAATTCTATGCTCGCTGGCTATGAATAAACAACAGAGCCGTAATTACCGTTGTTATATTTTAAAAAGCGCTTCTTATTTTTAATGGAAAACGGGTAATTGGTAGCCTGCAGAGATTCAATTTTACTACGGCACATCTGCCTCTAACGATGCATTCTTTGGATTCAGTGGAAATTGGTGTGGAGCGTGCAAGGTGGGGCTATAAAGAGCAAACGGACGCGGTTTGATCGGCAGTGCGTGCAACTTTTTATTTATGCAGGTGGAAGGCCAACGGTTCTGACTCGACGTGGGGCTCGGAAGCTGCAATACAGCAAAACTGAAAAACGGACAAGTTGTGGTTTACGTTTTGGAAGAAGTGGACATGAATTGCTTCTATATTGTAGGCAAAATTTAAAAAAATTTCTAAAAGTGACAAATTTTTGTTCTACTCAGTTAACGGGTGTTCATATAAAAAGTTAACTTTGACATTTTAGTAGAAGGAAACGCAGCGAAAATTTCGCCTGTTTCTTGTGTTTACTGTATCCGGTTTTCAAAATCATTTGCATGGACTTTAATTGATTAAAGAAATTAAAACGCGCAACTTCGATAAACGGAGTACTACAGAAGGATAATGCGTACGTTGTGACGGAGTTGAATGATCTCTAATGCAATAATAACAAGAAAATAAGTAGCCAGAAGTAATTATTATAACTAGAGTAAAATCTTGTTTTATTATTTTCTAAATTGGCGTGCTTGTTGAAGTATTTACCG